CAGGAATGTTTTCAGGTGCAAAAATAAAACCAAGAAAAGGAAATCTCAGTTTACAGTAACTTCACAAGCAGGGGTTCCTGTATCTCTTTTTTTTTTTTCCCCTTTATCTCTTAAGGAGAAGGTCAGGGGTAATGGCTGAGCCTGACACAGCACCATGGTGATGTCATTCTTTTTAAAAAATATATATTTTTATTGAGTTCAGAGAGGAGAGAGGGAGAGACAGAAACATGAATGATGAGAGAGAATCACTGATCAGCTGCCTCCTGCACACCCCCTACTGGGGATCAAGCCCACCACCTGGGCATGTACCCTAACCGCGAATCGAACTGCGACCTCCTGGTTTATAGGTTGACGCTCAACCACTGAGCCACACGGCTGGGCAGGGTGTCATTCTTTACACGTTCCTCAGGCTGCAGCCTCGTGGTTCTGGGATGCCTGCTGTAGCTGCCAACATCAAGTCCCTGTTCGAGGCAGATGAGAGAGGCGGTGGGACTGACGTGCTCGCCCTCTCCTTAGAAGAGCAAAATCCCGAGTCCTTGCAGCATCCCTTTTACGTCAGGGACCAGAACCCAGCCAGGACCACGGAGCAGGATTGGTGGAGTTTCCCACAGTCCCCCTGCTTCTTACCACGATGGCTCGTTCCCTCAGCAGACCTTCACTGAGCATTCCCACAATGCAGAGCCTGGGGCTGCAGGGAGAGGAAGCTAAGCACAGTCCCTCTGGTGCAGCGGTCGACAACTGGGGTCCACGGACCCCTGCTGTTCCGTGAGGTCCCAAAGGTTGGCGACCGCTGCATATGGCTCGCACTCCTGCAGGTTAATTATGTGAGCGATTCAACAGGTTTTTAAACATTTTGTTTTTTAGCTTCAGCTCCTGATTTCTCCAAAAATCCCATTAAAAAAACTTCAGTGGTTCAAGTTGGCGGGGATGTTGCCATTGAGTGCAGACCGCGGGCCTTCCCCAGGGCCACCGTCTCCTGGAGCCGAGGCGCGCGGGGCCTGGGGCGCAGCCAAAGGTGAGTGGGTCTTTGTGTGTGTGTTTTCACCGTTTGAAATATCTGGGAATATAATGCCTGGTTTGTGAGGACTTTCCAAATCCCCTCCCACATGATAACCCACAACTGCTTATCCGGGTATTCGGAAGTGCCCACATGGCAGAAACATCAAAGAGCCTCCCAGAGCTGAGACAGGCCGCGTATGTGGCTGCAGTACATTCAGGGCTTGGAAGAGATATAGTTTCAAACTCCTTTTAAGACCTCTTCCTCTA